ACATCTCAGCGCCGAGTCTCCCCCCCGCTGCCGGGGCGGGGTCCCTGCGGCCCCGGGGTGGGGGCCAGGCCCCCAGCGGGTGACTGATCCATGCGGATTCAGCGCAGAGCCAGGCGGCCGCGCCCTGCCCATGTCTGACCCGCGTGCAGGCGCCGCCGCGCCCGCTCTCCCGCCGCCCTGGGTGGGAGCTGCGCCCGCTCTCCCGCCGCCCCTGCACTAGAGCCAGGTCCCCCCAGCGTGCAGGGCTGGCGCTGGTGCGCCTCTCCCAGCTCCCACTCATAGCGGGCTGCCAAAGCTAAGCTTAGATCCCCTGCCCTTGACAGGGGCCTCCTCAAGGTTACAAAGTCAGTACCCAGAGCCCCGGGTCGGGCCGGCCTTTCCCTGGTTGCAGCGATCGCCCCCTAACTAGGCTTCCAGAGTCTGTAATTTGGGTTTTCATAATTTTGCCCGATAACATGGCTAGGGATTTTTAAGCATTTTTAAAAAGTTAAATATATTTCAGTGTTCACAGTTGTAGGAAATTAGGGCAGGCCCAGATAATTATTTTAGGATAATTGGTGTTGAGATTCAAAAAGTTAAAGCTTTGTGACGGTTAAAACACAAATTGTCAACATTGCATGTCAAAATATACACAGTAAATATCCTAAAATCAAACTGTAGTTCTCAAGCAGCACTTTTCATACTTTACTTAACTGTGCATTTCGATGATTATTCATGGAATCTCTTATTAATTTGTATGTACAGTGAAATCAGTGTTTACTGATGCATACCAATAAAATCTAATCCTTTTCTGCCTATTTATTATGCATACAGTTCGTATGTGAATATTCTAAAATAAACAATAATACTAAAAAGCAAATAAGTATGTGCTGGTAAATGTCATGTACTCTCTTGGACCTGATTATCTTCTCCCTTAGATCTGGGTGTGGATCTTTGGGTGACTGGGATCCTTTATATATTTAATATATGCCACAGTCTCTGCTGTATTAATTATCATTTCTGCAGAACATGCACTGGGGACGTATGTTGTAAGAGTTCTTAGTACTAAGGCTCCAATGGAGCTGCCCTACCTTCAAGATGCTGATGAGGTACAGGGCATCCCAAGGAGTCCCTGGAATCTGCCAGGTTTGGGACAAGACCCATGTCCTCCTTTTTGGGGGGTGGTGACCTATCAAAGGGATAGGGCGTGTGGGGGAGACACTAATGAAGATGTCCATATACCCTTCCCCACAGATTTTTCTATGGGATGTGATTTCGGGCTCTTCTAGATTCTGAAGAGCCTGGTGATTGCCCTGATGCAGTGTCAACCATTAAAAAACAGATGGAAAAACTCATGGGAATTTGAAGAAGCTTGAAGGTTTCCTGTGATATATTTTTTTTTTGGTCTCCTTTTTCAGTGGATGGCACCATTGTGTACCCATATATTGTTTACCAAAAATATTTTTGTATTAAAATACATTACATTTTAATTTAAGCCTCTTACATGCTCTTAAATTTTACTTCCAGTTAATTTTAACTGAATATAACTACTCTAGGACAAAGGTTCTCAATCTGTGATCTGCTGAAGTACTTCCTGCTGAAATACAGAGGTTTTTAGGTCATATGGTGCTGGGTTTCATCCTTATTTCCAGCTGGTGAAGTGTGCTAAAGATAGCTAAGAATACATTAGATGCTTTCCTAATATCTCTTTTCCACATAATCAGGTGATTTAATTGTCACAGGAATGTTATGCAATCACAGTTGGGAAGAGAGGCAGTCAGTACAATTGAGAGTGGGAGGGGAGATGGTCCATGAAAATGTGTGGACCACAACTATTGAAAAAATTGAGAATCCCTGTTCTCTGCTTTATGACTAGTTTCAGATTACCGTATATATTCGTTCATAAGCCAAATATTTTTGGTAAAAATGTGACGCATCAAAGAGCGGGGGTCGGCTTATAAATGGGTCTGCACCAAAATTTGATGATTTTAAACTCTATGGAATCATTGAATTGAATATCTAATACATTGTCATTTTGTTTACTTGGAGCATCTGCAGGCATGGAGCCCCTCAGCTCCCTGTGGCTGCGATTCACCGTTCCCAGCCAATGACATTTATGTATTTAAACTTTCTGCAGAAGATTTTGATAGGGCCTCTACGCTTGTGTACCAATTCTAATCTCATGTATACAGGCTTTCTAATACTAGTCATAACCATTGCATAAGAACTTAAATTAAGTCTCTCAAAAGTAATACAATAGCATAGCATCTTCTATACCATCTTGTCACAGCGTAGCTGGTTACTGTGGATAGACTAGGCCCTGTGCCCCTGGATGAGAGCAGGTGAGTCCAGCCCACCTAATTAAAGGTGGGGCTTGAATACACCTGACCCTAAAAAGCTGCTAGTGGATGATTGATTGAGAGAGGTGTGCCTGAGGAAGGAAAGCCACAATGGAGTGGACCTAACTCCATGGTAGGTCTCCTGGAGCAAGGGGCCAGATCCTCAGGGAGACAGCCCTGAGGCTGCTGCCCAAAAGAGGGGGCAGAGCTGGTCAGAACTGGGAGGTTGTGAGGCCTGTGAGTGGGATAGAACTGAAACCTGAAAGTGAGGACTGAGTTAAGACTAACTCATCTGAAGAAGTGAGGTTTTTACCCACGAAAGCTTATGCCCAAATAAATCTGTTAGTCTTTAAGGTGCCACCAGACTCCTTGTTGTTTGAGTTAAGACTGTTTTTCTGTTCAGTTAAGAAAACAAAACTCCTCGAAAGAGATGGGGTTGGCAGTGTATATTTTGGAGCTGGAGTGAAGCCCTGGTCAGTGATATATCTAAAGTGTCCAAGAACAGTACCATTCCAAATTAAAAAATAACTTTTAAAAAAAACCTAAAGATACTAAGTGATAACATAGCTATTGATCATAACATATGTAAAATCTAAGGATTTAAAAGCAAGACAGAAATGTGCCTTCATAATGAACAAACACACTCTTTTCAGCAAGAAATGCAGATTTCATCACAACAATAGCAACCTTGACTCTGAGCCATATATTTTTGGGGCCTTTTATGCATATTTTTTCATCTTGATTTTGGTATATAAATAGATTTTTTGGAAGAATACTATTAAGTAGGAAATACTGTCAGTTAACTGTATTCAGAGCAGAGGATCTAGAGATGCCTGTAGAGGCTTTTATAAATCTAAAATAATAACCTATTGTAAATTGTTAAATGTTTTTTCTTTTGGTAATGTTACTTCTAATTACTGTTGAAGACTAATGTAATAGAAAAGTGAATAGCTATCAGTTTTGGGTAAAATTATGTATTTGGACCAGCATTTGAGGCTGATAAATATTCAATATGTTTATTGCTTGGATTTTCAAAGGGATCTAAGAGTAGTAGGCACTCAATTCCCGTAGAAACCCCAGGCTACATAGAACAGTCTTTTCCCAAAAGGATTGTGTTAATGATTACTGACAAGAACTATATTTATTTATTTTTGGTCAGAGTAAAGGTTGTTCTGTTGTTGAAATATGTTCTTACAGAAATGTGTATGGTTTTTAAAACTAATTCTTTTTGGATTTTGTAAAAGACATACTATTGGTATTTTTTTGTGTGTGAATGTAAATGAAGGTATTTAGCTTTTTACAATTTTAAATGGGATGGACAGGTCATTGGATTATTATTAAAGGATTGTGAGTAGTGCTGCCCAAACAAATTGTCTCCTGCAATGCCTGCCTGACAAAGATGCACGTGTTCACTATGTAATTAAGTTAGTCACATGTTCATGTGCAGCACAACACAACTACAAGCTGAATGCTGGTAAAATATGCTTTAAAACATCTCAGTAAATTAAGTGTCAAACTCAGGGTTAGAACTCTGGTCTGTTGCCTACACATATAATGCTTAATCTACTAGTTCTCAAAGCCCTCCTAGCTAATTTATCGAATTTCAATGCTTCAAGATCAGTGGTTCTCAAACTTTTGTACTGGTGACCCCTTTCACATAGCAAGCCTCTGAGTGTGATTTTTCTCTTCTCTCCCTCCCCATTAAAAACACTTTTTTTATATATTTAACACCATTATAAATGCTGGAGGCAAGCAGGCTTTGGGGTGGAGGCTGACAGCTTGTGACCCCCTGTTTGAGAACCCCTGTTCAAGATAAAAACATAGATTTTTAATCTGTACATCTCAAATCACTTTATAAAGTGGGTAAATATCCTTATTTTGCAGTTGGCCAAGTAAAGCTATATAAAGCAGTTTGTTTGAGCTTGTATGGTCTGGTGGGTAGACATGGGTCAATTAATTTAGAAATTGGCGTTGTTTCCAGCTCTACCACAAACATCTTATGTAACCTGTAGCAAGTTACTTAAGGGCAGATTTTTTAAAGGTATTTAGGCACCTAAAGATGAAAATTAGCCTTGGTGGGTTTGGAGGATAAGAATATTCTTCACTTTTTTTCCCCCCCCCCCTCCATCAGTGTTTTCATTGAAATGATCATGTCTAGCTTTTGAATAATAGTTTTAAAAAACATTTTACTTTTCTTTTCCCTGAACACTTCCTCTTGCGTTAGCCTATGTCCAAAGTCTACCTATGTCTCAAATGTCATGGGGTAATGTGACTCTGTTGGGCAGGTAGGACGCAGACATTTCAGAATTGAGCCATTTTAAGTCTTAATCTCAAAAAATACTTCCTCAATCTGAACACATTTTAGTTGTCATGGTGACAACCCTAAAAATCTGAAAGATACCGTGGCGCGCGCTGTGTGTGTGTGTACACACATGCAACCTTGCGCGCACACACAAACACTAAAGGGGGATCAAGTCAGCCTTGTGATAGAGTTGAGATTGGAGCCTCTGTATGGAAATTTATCCTTTTTCTAGATTTTTAAATTGAAGTGATGGAACTAGTTAGCAAACATATTATCACTTTATTAGCCCCAATCTGGTTTCAGAAGGCACTGCTTATAATGAATGAATATTATTGGTAAAATTTTCAGTTTACTTCATATCATTGAATTACACAGTGGGCCAAATTCATCCCTGACATAATTCAGTAGCAGTCAGTGGACTAACAGGATAGATTTGGGATGAATTTGACTCTATTTTCACAATCTCATGTTTTGTATGACAGTGCATTGTTTTGCACAAAACAAGTATAGCTGAAAATAATGAAAGTCTGATGGAGTATTTAAAATAAAACCAACAACAAATTAACTGTTTTGTACTAACGACTTAATCTATAGGGGACCAGGTTTTTTGTCTGAAAATCAGAAAGAGGGATGGAGAATGCAACTCTAATGTATTATTTCTTTAAAAAAAATTATCTGAATTAAGATCTTGTCATAATTTTTAACTACTTTTTTTTTAATTCTAGACCTTTAAGTTACTAGGAATCCTTGATGTCCAAAATATTCCCTGTTCACGAGAGTCAATACTCTATGGGTCACTGGGTTCTCTAGTTGTGGGCCTTGGACATTTTTTAGCAACCAGTGAGTATTTTTTATTGTTTTCCTGTATTTCTTCCGCAAGAGAGATTATTTTTTCTGCTTGGTTTTGTTCTGCTAGTTGAGAGAAATAAAAGTAGTTTGGATAATTGTTTTCATTATCTGTTTTTTTTCTCTTTCAGGTAGAGTTAGAAGATCTTTTGACTTTGGAATGGGAGGTTTTGTTTTGACAACCTTAGGATGCTGGTATATAAGATATTTCTTGAATTTTGACAGACCAGTGCTGCAAATTTGTACATATATTCCTGTGCCATCCTCTGTCACCTTTCATACTCTTTCTTGGAAGACCCTTCATGACTTTTAGCCATGCCTCCTTCCTCTCCTTTAAATCCATTCCCAAAACTTATTTTTGCAAGGATGTTCATAAACTTTAAGCTATTGGACTTGATATTTTTAATAAAAATTAAATTTAAAAAAGTATTCTGCTACATGTGGCTTAGTCTCCTAAGAGACCATGCAGTCCTCTTGTCCTCTCTTCCCTTCATGTCTCTGTTTCCTCCCACTGTCAAGTCTTTCAGTTAAAATTGTAGCTTAGGCCATAATCTTGTGAACACTTAAAGATGTGCTTATCTTTAGGTACATAAGTAGTCCCATTAAAATCAATGAGGACTGTTCACATGTTTAAAACTATGCAGGTGTGTAAGTATGTGCAGGATCAGGACCAAATTCAGATCTTTAAAAGTAAAAAAGAACTATATGTTTAGGAACCAATTTTGTAGCTGCGTGCACATGGGAATTCCTTGTGCAAAGTGGCTGTAGAACCATGCCTTAGAGAATTAGCAGCTGTGCTAATATTTACATAAATGCTTGTAAAATGTCCAGTTATGATGCATAGAATTTACAGTTCATTTTAACTTATTGAACAGTTGTAACTTGATATTTTTCAAATGTATTTTGTTTTTTTCTTCCTTAAGGATATATTGCAGATATAATCATGCAAAACTAAGGATCCAGCAAAGAATTATTCAAGAAGGGATGAGAAACAAGATCTTATATGAAAGTAGTGATTTTGATCCAGAAAGAAAACAAAACAGCAATCTAGGAAGCAAATCTTAGTTTATCACAGAGCAACCCAATGGTCAAATACAACCTGTGGGGTATTAAAATGGAAGTGCAAAGGCACACTCTGCCTGTAAGTGTGGGATGAGAACAAAACTGATAACCCACACAATCTTTTTCCTACTGGACTCAAACAAACTACTCACTCTGTTAAAGAAGATCCTAACATGTTAAGGTTGTGTATAGATTTAAAAGTTGTGTACATTTATATGCAAATCAGGGATGGCCTTCCAGTTTCTGGCCCATTGTGTTTGAAAATGATAAATTTAATTGCTGAGGATTAATAATGTTTCAGAATTGTTTAGAACAATGGTGTGTAGCTCTTCTAAAATGACTAGAAGTTTTGGCTTCATTTTACAATAAAAGAAAAAATTAATCCAGGCTATAATTATTTTTCCATATCTAAACAAGACCTTTATACATTATTTAAAATTAAATTCAATGTATATCTCTATGCTGTTTAATGTGGAAAAATTATTCCTACTAATTATTATAATAAAAGGAATATTTATCTAGTTGACTGAAACAAAATGAATAATGTAAAGATCCCTCTTATCTCTGTGAAACATACAGTATAATGGGCAACTTCTACTAGTGATGTTGGCTAGTTAAGACCGTTAATAGACATGTTTAAATTGAGGATAAAAATGGGATGTTCTTTACTATTTGAAACTAAAAATGAAATAATTTACTAATAAATTTTCAAGAGGGCTATTTGCTACTCTTTTGTACCTTATGTTTGGGATACTTTATCTCATAAGTCCCGGTCTTCCAATTAGAGCACTTCTCTTCAGTAGCCTGTACTATTTACAGTTTAATAATTGGGTAGAGCGGTACCTGGTTGCCTTGATTAGTTACATAAACCACTGCTGGATTGATATTTTATTTTGAAATGTGCATAATATATTGTAAAATTGGTGTTTTGAAACTGTACCCTAAATTTATCATTTCTGTATTTGTCATAAAAATTTAAATAAATGTATTTAAAAAACACTATGAATTGTTCGGTATTGCAAACTCCGGAGATGGTATTGTATTGTTTAGCAGTAGTATATTGTTGAAACTTAGCTCTGATTTAGGGTTTCCGTTTGTTTATACACTGTGCTTATCTACATTGTGCAATTAATGTCAATGGTGAGGGTACTTAGTACCTCATAGAATCAAGCCCAGTATTGTTCGTTTTAAAGTGCATTACCCAATAGACTGCTTTTGGTCCAAAGTAGTTCATCCTTTCTAGTGAGTAAAATACATTTTTTCTTATTACCCTGTAGACTGAAAGGGGATTTATTTGCACCTCAGGGCTATAATTTTATATATTGCTTGATCCTGAGGAAAGTTTAACATACAAACCTTCTGAATGTTAACCAGTGCATCGTTTTGTTTAATGCATTCTAATTCAGAAAACACTTGTCTGTGCCAAAGCACTTTTTTCTTTAAAATTATTACATGTGAGAGCATTGACAAGCTTACAGTGTCTTTTGTAATAATTTTAAGTACACATAGATTAGTCTCCCAACAGACTAAAAAATCCTATTTTTCTTTTCCTTCTCTTCTCTTCTTTTTTTATTTCCTCCTTGTGTGGCTGAATTCTCTTGTTCTGATCTTGTATGGGAAAAATAACAGTAAAATGGATTTTATTCAGGAAGAGAGCTTTTCAGTTTGAGATTTTGTATGAAGTACAAAATAATCTCTGCAGGACTCAAGTAACCTTACAAAGTACTTTGCTTGCTTCCTTAAATCTTCCATTGACCAGAGAATCTGTACAAACTCCTAGGTCAGCAGCCATACAAAACAAATCCCAGTTCAGAAAGGAAAGTATTTCCCCTCTAGTTATGTTTTTTTTTCCTAGGCTTCTGTCCAATTGGGAATTGACAGTAGTGAACAATGCTTAGCAAACTCCTCTTAATACATGGCTGAGTTCTTTCTCATCTGACAGAATAAGAATTGTGATTGAATTACAGTTTAATTAAGGGTTGAGTATGCTTGCTGGCTGAAAAGTCATAAATGACTTAAGAAAAGGAAAACAAAATCACAGATTAAAATTTACAGCTTTTTTTTTGCAAAGAAAGGTTTAATAACTCCTTCCCTACCAGTTTTAGATGGTAACATGTACGTAAGGGCAATCAGGAGTGAACAGACTGCCCCATCTGGGAGGGGAAACTAGCAAAAACTTCTATAGTAAAAGTAAGCAAGTTAAGATTCAAATCAAGGAAACTTCAAGTTGAGATTGACATTCAGTCCTGTCTTATGCTATGTCAGTTTAGGGACATTAGATGCCCATGCTACAATATAGGGGTAAAGACTATTATACAAGACTGGAGCGTCAGCTCATGTGCCTGTGTAGTACAGAATTGTATCTTTTTTGGACTTGCATTGGGTAATTGGTAAACATTCACACTAAGGTTACATATTGCTGCTGTTAGTACTGTATTTAGTTCCTTTTTATATTTGTTTTAAAATAATTACTTTTGTGGGATTGGGATTTTGTAAAATTTTCCTCCACTAAACTGAAAATATGTTCTTCTAGAGGATTAACAGAAAATAGTAAGGAAAAGGTTGAAAACATCCATAGCTTCACTATTTTTTCATATGTATTTATATTCAAATTTGGGGAGGAAGGTGGTAATATTCCCTGCGGCCTTTCAGCAGTGGTGTCAGTTTTAAACTGCTTGTCCCGTTTCTCTCTCTTCCCCCTCCCCCCCACCCCCGCGCCAAGTAGCTTTTCAGCAGCTGTCCCATGGCCCTACAGTCATGATTTTATTATTAGCTGTTGTAAAAACAAAACTGCAAACTGTTCAATGATCTAAATTTACTCACCTGAGTCATCCCATTGAACCCTGTATGGCAACTCAGATACACAAATCTTGGTAGGATTGACACCTTAGTTTTTATAATGATTATTTATTTGAATTACAGTATTGCTTAAGAACAGTGTTGTTGTGCTGGTTGCCTTGTAGCATTTACAACCTAGATGAGACAGACAAAGGGTGGGGGGGACTGGATACAACATACAAGCAGATTGAACAATGATGATCTAAGTGCCTTTTTTTGTTTGTTTTTTTAAGTGGGGTTTTGCTGGGAGGGAATTAGCTAAATGAAGTCACAAAAGGAAGAGGAGACACTGAAGAGGGAAGGAAGGAAAGGAGCATTAAGAGTTAAGCTGCAGTGAAAAGTGGGATGGTTTTGGAACAGTCAGAAGAGGGAGAAGAATATTCAGAGTAAAAACTAGAAAGCACTCTGACATCATCCATATCTCAAAGCGCCTACTGCAGCTGTTTGTGTCAACAATAGAAAGTAAACTGAAAGTGACTGGTGCTGAAAGGGCTGCTGGGCTGAGGGACAGGAAGAGAAAGGCTGGAGCCTATGGAACCTTTGCCAAAATACTTAGGAAGAGTTCTTTATAAGTTCCCTATTGTATCCTAATAGGAACTATTTTTCATCATGCAATTGATTAACTTTATTTTTCCAAAAAATACATTTAAACTTAATGAGCCATGCTCTTAACAGCTAGTACTAGTAAGTGATCAGACTACACATGGTATGTGCACCAGCAGCCTACTAACCCAGACCCTATTGTGCCTTATCTGTTTAAGACTATGGAGTCAAGAGTCTCTACAATGAGAGCTAGCACAGCTATCTCTGTACAAGCAGGGGAATCAGAGTCCTCACTCTAGATGTAGCTGTTGTGGTGTACTTCAGATCTGTTTGAAATGTCAATTCTGGCTGTATTAAAGCTGTGACAGTTGTCATTCTAGAAAATCATTGGTTTCAGTGTCATTTTTGTATATGGGCTACCCCATTCATATCAAGTGTGAAGATTTTAGCCTAAGTGCCTTCTACATCAAACATGAGGGCTTACTCAGTCCTGTCACCTTTACCGCTTTGAATCAAGTATGCAACTAGTTAGTGACATAGTTGATTTATTTTTTTTAGACATTTACCTCTATATACAATCTGGTTATATTTGGTTATTATGATAGCTAACCCTGTTTTAATTGCCAAAGGCCTAACCCGATGGTCTTCCTGTACCCAGCATGTAACACTTCTGCTGTGTGAATGGGAGCCACTAGCTGTAACTCTGCAGTTCATGTAGTCAATCCTCCTTCCCTACAGCTCTCTGGAACATCCTACTTACTGTACAGAGAGCATTGCCCCATGTTACCATGTGCATGTCCTTTGGGAACTAACTCCCACTGAGGCAATACAGGATAGCTGCCTGGATTTTTCCAGAACGCATAGATACAAACATAGGCAGCAAGATAGCATGGATGCACAAGTTCAGATAAGACATGACTGTGTTGTGACAAAGCTGTTCTGTAGACCTCAGATCAGTTTGTTGTAAGCATGTCAGATGAGTGACAAAAACTAAAATACAGTTGTAAACAGTTTTTATCTAATGCTTCCCTGATAATTTCTATGAATTGCTTCAAGCTGTTCCTTTATACATTCCAGTTATAATCGTCCATCATGCAATTATGACATTGAATCCTTCTGTGAGCCTGAACTGGTTGAGTTTTAGCCTGTAAACCTTTCAGGGCAGGAAACTTGTTTGACATGGCTCTTCTACTGTGTAGTGCCACACCGTGTACTCCATTGCAGCATCACTAAAAATACCTCCTTCCTTGATGGACATAAATCTGTCAGGGCTACTGCAGTTCAGTTTTGATAACCAAAGGATGGGGTAATCTAGTCCAAATGCCATGTTTCTCACACAGTTCTCTCTGATTATGATTGTTACCCTAAATAAACAAGTTTTACTTCAGTGCAGAATATTCCCCATATTTAACTTTACTACTTCTCTCTGCTCCTCCAATAAAATAACATACCTTGATACCTTTGAAAACATTTCTGTTTTCCTGTTCTCCAATTAACTGATTTTTTAAATTAACATTAGGAGTTCAGAGTGTGACACCCAACTTTAAAATCCAAAAGGGAAAAAAAAAAACCTACTTTAACTAGGGAGGGTTCCCTTCCCTACTGTTCCTCAACAACGATTGGCAATTTTATTTTATATCCATGAAAATTCCTGTAATGAAAACCTCTCCCACATTTAAAGCAAATCTAAAACACCTCCAAGATGAACAAGAACTGGTATATGTCACCACCAAATCCTGCTACAGTAGGAATCTTCAGCAGATGTGACTAATAGGCTGCTGCCTCTCTCTCCCCATTTCCCACAAGTAGCAGGATTCTTTTAGAGGAGGCTGCTCGCAGGTCAATCCGTCTTTAATTAGAGTATATTTATGGCTCCCTGAAGCAGTAGGGATATACAAATGAAGATCATCTCCCTGTAGGTCAGTATAGAAAGGCTGGTCTTACTGTTAAGGCACTTGACTAAGATGCCAGAGATCTGAGTTTAATTCCTGGCTCTGTCACAGACTTCTTGTATGACTGTAGGCTTGTGCATTTGTGAAATGGAAATAATACTTCCCTAGCAGGTGACATGTATCAGTAATTGTGAGATGCACAAATGCTATTGTGATGTAGGGGAAGATCATCATACCACAAGCTGTACCATCATCAACCCCAGAGGAGACAATGGATGCCATCATACCATCCAAAGCAATCAAATATCAGGTCAAGAAAAAAGACTGAGGTACAGCAGAGGACCCCCAGCCTCTCTCTTCCACAGCAACGCACAACACTCCTATAACACATCAGCAAATTTGTCAGAACTGTTGGGATCCATATTAGATCCAGTCCAGAGAGCATGATTTTTGAACACCGCCTTGTACCTTTCCACCAGATGTGGTCTGCCATGACATCAGACAAATGGGTGCCAGTGGCTAATCACCCAAGGCTACCCTCTACCCACCCATCCTTCTCCATCCCTCTTCAGGGACTCTTCTCACAAGAGCCTATTACAAACAGAAGGGGTCTTAATGCTTTATTTATTTAACCATAGAGGAGGTTTCTATGGTTTCTATCAGTATTTCCTGATTTCGAAGAAGAAAGGTGTCTTCATCCTATCCTAGATCTGAACAAATTCAGCA